TCGGTTTTTTTTGAAAAAAAATAAACAAGTCCCAGACGTTCAAATCACGTACTTTCAAACGTCCTAACTCTCCACTGAAACATTTGTAAAGACTGAAAATAGCTTATTTATTAATTCAAACACACAGTTCTCTATGCGAGTTTAAAATTTTACTGTCCCTCTTCTAGTTGCCGAGAAAGTCGTTACAGAAAATCACACTTTTTCGACCTAGAAAGGAAAAACGCAAAACGCAAGACACAAGACGCAATTTATTACTATAATGTGGTCGGTACTGCTTCGCACCGCATTAACAATATCTTCCTCCGGTTACACTACATTTTTTGAAACTATCATGTAAAGTTATTTATATACATACCCATTAACTGAAGCTCTTTGTTCACTAAGATCACGACACATTTTCTATAGCATTGGTTTATTTCTAGTAGATTAAATTGTAGTTTAACGAAATGAGAAATGTCCATGTTATTTATAGTATGAGAGGACGTGTTTAAGGTCTGAATTTTTTATTTTTTTCTGAGTATAGCCTGTTTACTTTCCAGAATTGATCTTGTGAACATGCGTGTTTTGTTTTTGATCAGGTAAATACATTAGAAAACAATAAAATAATAGAGAGATATCTATCATGAAATAATAGTGTTACTTTTGACATAAGTGTCCATGCAATGAAAGGATGTCTACTGAATGCATTGTTATAATAAGGAAAGAAATACATGCGCGAAATAAGGTGTGCCAGACTATGAAATACATGAAAATTTTATTTTTTATTCGCATACTTTCTCGTGGACTATGAACAAGAATAATTTGTACGCTATTAATATTAATGCGTTGTTCTAATACTTGAAAAAATTTCAATTATGGTTAAGTTCTGATAAGAACTACTGATTCTACTGGTTATACAAATGTTCTTCGAATTAAGAAATCAGAGAAAGATTCTCAAGGCAACTGTACAACACACAACGACAGCGATTGAGTATTGTTTTTAGACGACAGCATGTAACAGCAAAATATTTATCTCGAATCATTCTACAGAATTTCTGTAGAGAATAATCATCACAGACGATATCTCAATACCATAACAGTACCAATATGGAGTATTAAAGAGAATATGAAAGAGCCAACATATTTTCATGGGAAAAAAATGGCACATTTCGAATGCATAACAGTAAAGCAACTATGATCGAATAAATATTTTTTGCATGGAAAGTGTTTTTCTTCTGATGGTAAACAAAAAATTGAATTTTTTAATGCTTTTACTTGTACATCCTAAAAAACAGGTGTTCTTTGGTTTTCTAAAGAACTAAAAAATCAATACAAATTTTGTCCTTCATTTGTCCCAAATATAGAACTCAAATTGTGTTCTTCAGCTCTCAAGAACCCAAAAGAATGGGATTGAAAACTCAGAGAAATTGGCCTCTCCTTAATATTTTTCTTTTACCGCAGATCGATAGAGAATTCGATTTGATGCATATCTACATATTTTTAAACTTTACATAAAAGTTTTTCTCGCAAAAAAATCATCAACCGTCAATCATCAAGCGAACGAAAAATGTACAAGAATATTTTTCTATACGATTCTATACTTCTACAAGAATATGTATACATCATTAATTTAAGAGATTGCGCCCATAGAGAAATTTCTAGAAAAAGTCGGAATGCTGCGTAATTCTCAGTTTTCCCCATTAGAACTCAACTTTTATGCAACACAAATACCATATTCGAAATCACAACAAGTCATAAAATAGAGAATTTTAATGTACAGCTTTTGCACCCATCTTTATAAATCTGTCGTTTTTCCATCTTGTAAGTTTTCGTTTATTTTTACACGTTCGTTCATCTTCTATTTTTTAACCAGTAACTTATCGTATCATCTAGCTATCTTAAGCTTTACTTAAATTGTTTCCGTCTTTTCGCTTTTCACCTAGCTTGTCGTAGTCAGTTTTGTAGTCAACTTTTGTACGGTTAACAGTTGGTGGAGCGTTCAAGTGACGACAAATCAGCGTTAGAAGCGTAACTACACGCTTATGTTTCTCACTGAAACTAAAAAGTAACAAAAATGTCAATAAAATTAGACGTTAAACGTATTTTCTTTTGCGTATATCTTCCTTCACTAATCAATCAATTTCGAGATCGTACGCTAAGTTAGTCAAAAGTATCTCCGACACGTATTGTGATGTGAGAGACATGTTATATAATTCTACCTTATCGAACCATTTTGAATTTTTACCTCTAAAAATTGAAACTATTTTATGCGGATTCAGCATCAAAAACTGACTACGACAAGCTAGGTGAAAAGCGAAGAGATGAAAACAAAAATACTTCAAAAAAAATCAAAAAATGGTACAGCTGCCTTGAGAATCTTTCTCTGATTTCTTAATTCGAAGAACATTTGTATAACCAGTAGAATCAGTAGTTCTTATCAGAACTTGACCATAATTGAAATTTTTTCAAGTATTAGAACAACGCATTAATATTAATAGCGTACAATTATTCTTGTTCATAGTCCACGAGAAAGTATGCGAATAACCCTTGAGGCAAAAAAGGAGATAAGTTGGAAGATCCAGGGATTAGTGTGTGCCTGCAAAGCCTTATTTGAACTTGCTGAACGAGACAGTTACGGTGAAATTCGATCGCACCTAGCTTGTCGTACTCAGTTTTCGTTTTTTATAGATAACTTATTTTTTAAAGGTTTCTCATCCAAAACATGTTTGAAAAAAATTGTAAATGACACATTGGGAATCGGCTCTACGAGCTCTATCGAACCATGTGGAAATCAACGAAAACAATTTTCTCCTCAACTTTCACATTTCGGGCACTTACGCGCAGATCATACACAGCCAAAAATGAACAATAATGTATTATAATAAGCAAAAAAATATGAAAATCGATGTTTCGAAAGACATTGAAAATATCTCATATCAGCAGCCTTTAACAAAGTCGGAATATTAATACGTTCACCGTCATAACTTTGCCATTGTTTTACTAAACATTCGTCTGTTATTATTTTATTTTTTCGATCTTTTGGAGCCGGTGCACCCATATCACTCGTAAGCTTACTAATGAGACTAATGATTGTTCTTTCTGTAGTAAAATAAGAACAATCATTAACCAACTTATTAATTAATTGTATACCTTTTCTAAACCAATGGAAAGTAAATCCCTATATATCAGACTACTTAATTAGTATACATTTTTTATCTAATTATTGGAAAGTAAATCGATTATAGCAAAAATACATATAGCTCTTCTTTTCTGTAGGGAAAACCTAACTAAAATAAGAAGTAATCAACAAACAGTAAATTCGTGGAAAGTAAACTGTGTAGACCGTGTTTGACATACAGTATGGTTGACTAAACTTCATTCTACAATGAACATTATTTAAACTATTGTCACGCTCTTTTAATTCATTCCATACATCTACATAGATACAGTATATTTTTAGAACGTTTTAGCAAAATTGAAGGTTATGACCTCGTCATCATATTGTGAAAGTGTCGATAACAGGGATAAAGCAAGGCAATTTTTGGTTAGAGTACAGAATGTATTATCATAACTTATATGCATCAGGTAGTATATTTAATGTGAAAATAAGATTGTGTCCAATTTCTTCAACGTGATTTTTCTGAAAAAGATGCAAGATTAAACCTGAAAAGTGTGCATATCAGAGAACGGTAAGTTATTCCTCTTTATTCAAAACAGATCATTCCTTATCCTTTCTATCGGAGAATGAGCCGTTTACATACGTTTTTTTATATAGTCTTTATTACTGCTTATTTTGAATTGGTTATTCAATCAAATAAATAACGCAGAGGTAAGTACACGGCAATTTCTAAACCAGAGTGAAGAATATTGAACTCTTTTTTTGTTGTTTTGAGCTTAATCTGTCTGATTCTCTCTTAGTGTTACTTTCACAATATAAAAGATCCTTCTCTCAGTTAAATACATCAAATCTAAGTAATTTCGCCCGTGCGTAGATTGAATTGAACATGTTGACTGGGAAAGGTTGTAGAATAACAATGCATCAAAATGATAAATGTACCAGCAAGGTTGATCATAATAATGAGTAACCTCGGTGTAATATATCCATGTGCCGTATGGATGTGGCTGGTGCCAGTATCGATTTTCTGTACGCTTCTAACCAGAGTATAGTTCTTCTACGTCTATAGGAGAACATCCAACGAACTGGTGCTCGAGACCATATTGATCTCACTTTACGTGACTTTACGTGAGTGTAAATGCTTTCTTCACGTACATCTGTGGTTACCTTATGGATAATACTCATCATCTCACCCTTAACTCTGAGATCTAATACTGATCACATCTGTTATAAGGTTTTGGGAAAGTTGGTACTTCAGAAAAAACAAAAAAAGTTTCTTAATTCAGTAAATACGTAATTTAGCTTAAACTATTATTGAAAAGACTGAAAATAATATTCACTCGGGAAGACAGATAGAATGAGCCGTGCGCTGAACAACACAACCTCTGCTAATTAACTGAAATCAAACATCTGCTGAAACGAAAATGGAATAACGCGAGAATGTACTATTCGTAGTGAGAGTCGAGGCGCTAAAGTTTTGACTAATGCGCGATCGCGACGCAACTTCAGGAGAATTAGAGGATCACGGCGCGTTTTGATGAGAAAAACATAATCACGACATGACATCCGTGACTTCTATAGGACAAAAACACAAGAGTACCCTGCTTTTTGTTGTCACGTTGACTGTGGCGCACTTAGGGCACTTTCATGTGCGTTAAACCTCATCAAAGGGCACTTATTTTTGTAGTGTATTTCTGTTTAATCACCCATGTCTGGTCCTAGTATTTTTCTTGCTTGTTCTTAACGTAAACGATTTAAAGTAATTGAACCAGGAGAAACTAATTTCCATAGTTGTGACTGTTCTCTCTTTTTGTAAAACAACCATTGTTTATCTCTTAGTTGACTAAAGTAATTATTGAGTAATTGTTTGATAAATGAATCAGCTAAATAATGATGATGTATTTCAATGTAATATCACTTCATCATCTAAGGAGCCATGATCTAAAGTACAATTATTATGAGTATGTCCTTTCAAAATTGACTCAACTGACTCACACATTGCTTATTTTTAATACCATTAACGAATAAAAGTATAAATAATCTTAAATACCGTCAGCTACCGGTTGTTCTGTAAAAAAACTTTTCGTCTCTTTTGTTGTTGTTATTTAATCTTTTGTTGTCCATAATTCGTACATATCAGGATCTTCTGGTTCATTCAAAAACTGTTCTTTCCGTATTTTATATTGTTCTTTCAGTTCAGTAAAAATCATGTTTAAGTGGGGTACATTTCTTCTCGTGAAATCAATCAATTATCCTAGATTAATAACACCATATTCTGGATTTCTGGTGTTTTTAATAACATACATTAATAAATGTGCAAGATCTTAACAATTTTTCATCGTTTGAAAAATTGATGATGTATTTTTAAGTCTTATTTTAATGGCTTCTACTATCGCTGCGCATAATAAAATTAGTTATCGTTTCCTTATCAGGCTTCATATTCTTTTCCTGTACATATATCCACATTGTTTTTGCTATTGGAGAGAGTAGTGGTTTTTTGAGAGAACATAAAAAAGGAGGTAGCCGGTAAAAGCTAAAATAATCCTTCATTTTTGCAAAAACCACTTTATTTTAAAAACTTTTCTTGCATAAAATTTTTTTCCACCGACGACCATCGAAGCAAACGACGAGATTCTGCACCTCTAGAATTCTAGCTCCATTAGACTTGGTAAAACAGAATTCATGTCTGATAGTTTCGTTTTCCCGTGTCTGTTTCCATTAAAAATGGACCGTTCGATTCCTCTTGATTCTGTCTAAAAAATGTTCGGAAATAATATGATAAATAATATCTTGATTTTCTGCATTTAAAAATCAGATTATGCACGAAATATTCACTTGCAATAACCTCACTGGTCACCCTCAAATGGACCGTTTCTATACAGTTTTTCTTCAAAAAAGTTGTTTCCTTCGTCAGAAAAATCCCTTCTTTATCCAAGGAATATATTCAAGTAGAAATTCTACATTAGAATGAGATAAACTGTATCTCGCAAACCCATTTGCACTGATTCTGAATATGATAATGTAGATGTCATCATAAACCCAAGTGAACTTTCTTGTTCTATCGTGCCATGAGTCGAAGTAAAAAGTCGCGACAAGTACGCGCAACGCGATCACCACAAGTCTTTTTGAACGTGCTTTGGAGGATTCACTGTGACTCGCAAAGGAGCATGAAATCAGCCTAAATGCGTACAAAATGAGGATAAAATTCTAATTCATATATAGTCAGGTCCTATTTTCTCCTGCGAACAGACCGTATGAAGCAAGGTTCTCTTGCCTCACTTATTATCGTCAACATATCTTTTTGTTTTCTTTTTTTTCTTCGTACGTAGTTATCACAGTCATTTATTCACACCCTGTATGACGGATCCCTAATATCCCCTAATACTGCTTTCGAAAAAAATAATTAAGAAATAATCCAACAACTTGTAAATGAAGTTTCATCGAACTTTTTCTGTTATCTTTAAGAAATGGCACATAATGAAACTTTCAAGGATTCTAACTCTGATATTTTTGATTCAAATATCAGTTCTGTGCAAGTGAGGAATGATCATCTACTGAATGACGATGAAAACCATGAAGATAGTAGTCAATCACGTCCCGTTGAATTAACAAATATTAAATCCGAGAGTAAAGAGAATAATAATAATGATACAAAATCTGAAAAGTAAGTTTAACTTTGATACAAGTTAATTGTTTACAAGAATAACAATGTTGTTATTCATTTCAAGTAATAATGATAAAGCAATTGTAGTACCAACTTCAAATAATGAAATTAAAATAGAAAAATTAAGCAGGAGACGTATAATTAAAAATCTTCTTGTACTGTGTATTGCTTGGCTGTTGCAATTTACAGCATTTCAAGGTATCGTTCACCTTTCTAGTTTTATGTACATTTCATGATAATTGTTATCTATTTTTCAGCAATTGCCAATTTACAATCGAGTTTAAATGTCAAAGGAAATGTAGGATTAAATTCATTGTCTATTGTTTACGCTTTCGTCATTCTTTCATCAGCACTTTTACCACATCCAGTAAGTTAACCAATTGTTCAACTAAATATAATTTCAAATGAGATTGAAAGTGTATAATTATAGATGATAAGTATATTCGGGATGAAATATTCTATTGCCATCTGTCAGTTCTGGTATTTAACGTTTATTGCGTCCAATTTATGGCCAAAACCGTGGTTAATGTATCCTGCATCAGTTCTATTGGGTTTGGCAGCGGCACCATTATGGACATCAAAATGCGCTTATTTAACTGAAACTGGTATTTTATACTCAGAGAAAAGTGGTGAAAAAGCAGAAGCTGTTGTTAATCGATTTTTTGGAATATTTTTTGCATTTTTTCAAACATCGCAAATTTGGGGAAACTTGATATCTTATCTTGTATTGCGACCAACAGAAGCACCGATAGATATTAACAAAATAAGAGATAAAAATTTATTATATCTGACATCATTTAAAACGCCTCATATCGTAAATTCAACTATTCATGAAAAGGGTTATGAATGTGGAGCACATTTTTTTGAAAAAGAATTTGTCTCAAATATTTATAATGCTGTACCAAAACGATTGGTAAGATAAATTATATTCTTATTACATAGTGGCATGTAGGCGGACATTTGGTCTAAAATCGAAAGTGAGCTTTTCTGAGATTTAAATAGTATTAAATATACAGCGTTAAATGCGCTATCGAATGGCATAAAAAATTTTATTCTGTGACTTTTTCTTATTCGAGAAAGAAAACACGGTGATATAAGGCAAACGCTAGGAAAATGGACATGTACAGTATAATCAAAACGTGCGAGTTAGCGGAGGTGCAATCTTACTTATTTTTTCACCAAAATGTTTCTTAGTATATCCTGTATCTGTAGTATACTCACAAAATTGCACAACTTTTTGTGCCGATAGTTATAGGTTTTCTAAAAATCTTTTGTTTTTAAGGTAATTTGGACTTTTCTATCCTTATATGTTACTTTACTTGAATAATTTATACATACTCGGATTCCGCGTGAAAAACTACATCGAGCAATGTATCACTTATTAGTTTTACAAATAAAACATTGTTTGACACAAATTCAGAGCAAGGGAACCCTCAGAGAGTTTTCATCAGAAAAGAATTGTTTTTCGAATTTGAGTTTTCTTCTATTAAAATTTGACACATAATAAGACAATATAAATGCGCAAATAATCATTTTTTAACTCATAAAACCAGATGTCCACCTGCTTTATGGAAAAATGCCCACTGTGTATTAGCTTGAAAAAAGTGTTTTTAATTTTTATCTAAAAGGTTTACACGTTATGTGGAATTTATATTGCATTAGCAATCGCAAGTATTATTCTTATTCTTGCATTACTTGATCAACGACGACGAAATATAGGAGGTATCATTTTTATTTTGTTAGTATTAATCCTATTCATTAAAATATTTTTCGATTTTTAGAAAATATTCATGAAACATTGCGGACATCAGTTACACAATTTGCATCAACTTTCAAACATCTAAGAAATACTTATCAATTACTATTAATTCCCCTCACAATTTGGTTGGGTTTAGAACAAGCTTATATCGGAGCTCAATTTACTCAAGTTAATATTTCTGAATTTTACTAGCTATAAAAAAACGTTCATGTTCTCTTCTTTGGTCCTTTAAAGGGTTTTATAACCTGTTCGGTGGGGATAAAATACGTTGGTCTGATAATGATATGTTATGGTGTATGTGATGCATTAGGAAGTTTTACATTTGGTTACATTGTCAAATACATTGGACGAATACCGTGTATTGTATTCGCAGCCATACTCAATTATGCATTGATTATTACAATGCTTCATTGGATACCAAATGTATCACAAATATGGGTGTTATTTGTTCTTGCAGCTATGTGGGGTTTAGCCGATTCTGTAAATAATATGACAATTTTTTAATATTTAATTATTTTATTCATTTTTATTTAGGTTTGGCAAACACAAATAAATGCTACCTATGGAATATTATTTTCCAAACATGATGAAGCAGCCTTCTCTAATTTTCGATTATGGGAAAGTGTCGGATTTGTAGTGGCTTACATTTATACTCCAAGAATACGCGTTCGTTCATCTCACATTATCCTATTGTGTTTCTTATCACTTTCAATGTGTGGCTATTGTGCAGTGGAAGTCCTAGAATTTAAACGAAAACGAAGTGACAAGAAAGTCGACGAGAACAAAATAAAAGTTGATGAAGTATTAAACGCCGATAACATTAAAGCGACTCAAGTGAAAACATCTATCTTTTGAACGTGTATTCTAACGGATATTTGCTTGATATAAATCGTATTAGCTCATAAGGCTATTCTCTAACATTTTAGAAAATTTGTATATTCTTCCTTTTTCTATAGGTAAGTCTTCGTTACTTCTTGTATCAAGCGTAAACATCATTTGTATATAATATGCATCCGTCCAATTATGGAATATGCATCTGTAGTCTTTGATAGCATTCTTAAAACATACCTTGAGCCATTAAATTCTGTTCAAAGACTTGCATCGCGTATTATTTGCAACGGCTTTGTTTCTCGTTTATCTATGATAGCAAAGCACACTGGATTCCTTCCTCCATTTCTATTTTTACAGATAGTCTCCCTCAATATATTTTTACTGAAATTAGGAAAAATTTTAATTACTCTTTAATTTTTGTTGTTGTCACAAGTTCTATGTTTGTTTCTTTTCTCTGTATGTGAAGAATTCTGTTTATTTTGTATATTATACTCTGCGTTTCTCAACAGTGTAACGTTTGTAGATTTGATGTTGTTCTCTTTGTTACATGCGCATCAAATTGATTCTTTTTGGCAAAATATACTTGACTTGACTTTCATTCTTACGGGTAGATTATTCATCTCTGATTCCAATCCCAAACAGTCTGATAAAGGAAAACTTGTAAAGATGTTCTTGTCAATGATAAGGGACTTCTTCTTGCTCAGAATGTGTCGTTAATCTATCTGATCCTCTATTCTATACCATACAAAACTTAGCCTTGATAGTGATGAATATTTAGTATTTCATAAAATAATATGAGGTGAAAATTTCTTCACCTCACCTGTACTGGAGATAATAGGCGTGTTAGATGAGAAACTCATCTCCATAATGGCTCAACCAAAAAGAAATCTTTTTGGAACATAACGGTTTTGAAGAGTGTTCTTTCTATTGACTGATTCAGAAAAATTTTAAAATGTTCACAAGTAGGGTTTCCAGAAAACTGCGGTTCTTTACACAGGGTGTTCGATCAAATAATGAATTCTCTTAAATGAATTTCAAATACACCATTCGATGCTGAATTGTATGGACTACATTTTGGAAACAAAAACGGCCGTTCAGCGTCAACATTTTTAATTTTAATTTAAGTTTTACGTTTTGTCATATGAACTTTTTAAAAATTCCAAATACTGGAGGTCAGAACGGTGCTGGAGTATTTTACGCTCTTTCGAGCGATGTATTATTTAATACATCGCTCGAAAGAGCGTAAAATACTAAACAAGCTTAGATAGTTGGAGAATTTTAAAAAAGGTTTCAAGGAGGTTTTGGAGAACCTCTATGAAAGCTTCACTTTAAAGTTCAGTTTTTTGCTTGATTTAAGCCTTAAATTTAAATTTTGAACTACCCCATTCAATAGAGCTCGAAAACCTGAACAAGACGGGCTATTTGACGAAGTTTAGAAAAGATTTGTAGGGGTCTTCAGTAGGTTTTTCGAAAAAGCTTGTGCATCTTTTTTGTACATGTAGATAAGACACTCTTTGCTTTATTACATAAATATACTAGTGTCTCACATGCGGACCATCATTCCATTTTTGTTCTAAAAAGTGATCGTTCATGCTAACATTTATTATGTTCTCATTGTTAAGTTCATTTCGAAAAATCTACTGAAGATCTCCTGCAAATCTTTCTAAACTTCGTCGACTAGCCAGTCTTGTTCAGTTTTTTTACGTTCTTTCGGACGATGTATTGAAAAATGTTCCAGCACCGTTCTGACCTCCAGTATTTGGAATTTTTAAAAAGTTCGTATGATTGACGCTGAACGGCTTTTTTCAAATCAGCAAATATTTGACCTCGTACGCCCCACTTTCATCTCATCGAATGTATAACAATTTGTTTTTATTCGTCTTTACAGTGGGATGATCTTATAACTTCATAGAATATCATTCAAAATCGATGTTTAAAAAAGCACAATAAGAAAACGGAGATCATTCCTGAGTTAGGATTCAGTAAGGAGAGTCTATTTGCCAGGCAAGAAATTGATAAAACTGAAATAAGAAAATTTGGAAATTTTTTTATTAATTCTTATCTAATCTTGTCAAGATCTTTTAAAATTGTTATTTTGTCCTGCGGGATTCTTATCATTTCCATGAAAGAACTTTATCAACATTTGTTTTTGGACTTAATAATTAACCTTATTAAACTTGTCTGTCAAGTATTTCGAGTTTTCTTGAGTTTGGTTTAATAAAAAATGAGCACAGAAATCTAACCAGAATTATCTCATGACAAAAGTTAATTAACAAAAATTGAAATTACAGACATAAAGTGAACACTATTATAAGACATCACGTACGAAACAATGTAATAGTTCTACATAACGATGATCACGTACGATGTTTAATGATCATCGGTATGATAAATTTGATGGTAGTACGCGCTATTCCTCTCATCATCAAATAAACTTGTTCTTGACATATTTTCTCTTTTCTTTGTACACTCGATCACATTCTATTCACTCTATTTATTTTTAAATAATTTTTTTAACCTTTCACAATAATCAATTTCTAAACTAAGTTGTTTCTTTCTATTTGTACACAAAATATTTTCAGCTTTAATTGCTTTACATTTGGCAAATTCTTTTTGAATATCATATCTCACTATCATTCCACTTTTTATATTTGTGATCGAATCTTTCTTATTCATCTTATATATTTGTTCTTGTAATTGATAAAATATTATCATATACCATTGCCATTGTTCAATTAATTTTTGTCTCCACAATATGATGGCATTCGTTTTGTTCATTAATTGTCCAATAAGTAATTTATATTTTTTCATGAGTTTTTCTATATTAATGGGCTCTATATCGATTAATTGACATGGTCGATTGATGAGAGACTGTATTAATTGATATAAATATTGTTGATTTTTTGCTAAATCATATTTTAATACGAATGCTTTCATCCAAACTTTTCTCATTTCAATTAAATGTTGACGTAATATAAAATTATCATTTCTAATTAGAAATATTTGATGTGACAATTGTTCAACAGACGTTTTATATTTAACGAATCGTTCTTGATTTTGGGCATAGAGACCTTGACAATTTTCATATAGACTTATTTTTTCTTTCAATAAAGATGATTCATCGAATAGACGTTTAATAGTTGTTCCATATATCAACATTTGTTGTTTTATTAATGCTATTTTACTTCTCAAATGTTTATTTTCATTAATTTTTGTCAATATTTGTTTTTTTTCAATTATAATTAATTTCTCTTGATGATTTCGTTTGAATTGTATTTTTTGACGAATTAATAAATTAGAACGATATAAATAGGTGTGTCTTATTTTATCTTTTAGAATAGTAGTTTGTTCATTCTTTCGTTTAACATTATCAACTATTAGAGAATTATATTTTTCCATTTTATTATTTACTTCACTTTCAATGAGTTGATTTTTCTTATCGATTAATCGAGTCATATCTTCGCAATCACGTTTTACTAATATTAATGCAGCACGAGTTTTTTCACCTCTAAAATCAGGTTAAACTTTTTAATATCAAAGAAAATTATATTAGAATAGTCTTATCTATTCAGTTGATTTTAATATTTTATTGGCATTATTCTAATGAATGAATATGTATGAATTTTCTAGGAGAATTTGAAATAAAAAATAATTCAAAATAATAAACATCAATTATACTTTTTGCAAAAAGTAAAGAAACAGTTTTAATCCCATTTTACCTTAGAGAATGTGCATGTTTTCTTCGAATATCACGTTCTAATATCTAAAATATAAACGTTATATTTAAAATATTAATGAGAATATGCATATTCTAACCGAAATATTTAATTTTGATTTAACATCATCTTTATGATATTTTATGATATTTGTAAACATTTTTTGTATATCAGAAATTAATTGTTTCTCACGATTTGTCATTAATTGTAATCGTCGTGTTCGAAATATAAATTCTTTACGTTTTCGAAATGATATTTGTTTTAATATATTTAACTTTTCATTTTCAATTAAACGTAAACCACGACAATAACTCAAATTTTGTTGTAGATTGGCATTCTTATTTTGAACAAAACGTTTCATCTATTACAACAGAAGTACATAGTATAAATTTTTTTATTAGAATTAATGACTTTTATTAATATATCATCATCTTTAAAAAAGGAAATTTTTACATACATTTTCTAATTGAAATGTTTTTTCTTGATCAGTTGCAATTTGTTTATTATTTTCTTTGATTTCTTTTTTGTTTATATCAATTTGTTTTGTTAATAGTACCACTCGATTATTAATTGATTGCGTTCTTATCATTAATTTTTCTTGTATATTTTCCATAATTCGTCTCTTTTTCTCTAGACAATAACATGTTTGTTCTTCTACTCTAATATTTTTTTGTATTTGTCGTCGTGTATTCTCTTGATCGTCATATTTTCGTTTTAATTTTTCTAATTCTGCTCTATTTAATGATAAACGAACATTTTCTAATGAAAAAAGGGACACAAATGTATGTGTGTGTGAGTATGTGACTTCACAGTGTATGATGCCTTGTGTTACCATTAGTTAAATTTCGTTTCGTTATTTCAATATCGTTGTTCAAATCTATTTGCTCATGTTTCATTACATCTGATCGATACTCTGTTTGATCATATGTTAAAGATAAATGTTTTAATTGAGATCGGACAAGTTCATACTGTTGCTCTGTTGTTTCCATTCGTTTCTTATACTCGATTTCTAATTCTTGAACATATTCTATTAAGACACGAAGATTGTGACCTTCTTTGACTATTAAGAAAAAGAAATAAAAATATAGTCACTTTTATACTGAAGACAGTTTTAAGTAAGAAATAGTTACGCTAACAGTTTATCCTAGATGTCCACTTCATGTACCTATTTGTGTCCATTCAAGTTCCATATATTCTCTCTCATGTGTTATATCGTTTAGATTGGAACGCAATATTTGTAATTCTTTTACACCAGTTTCAATACTGATTTGAGTAATTTTTACTTTTTTCTTGAAATCATCAATTTCGTTCTTCACTTTTTCATTTTCTTTTACAGTTCGATCGAGATACACTCGCTGTTGATCTTGTAATTGTTGAATTTCATCATGATTACTGATTAACAGCTGTGATTTAGTCAAATTATTTTCTAAACGAATTGTTTCATGATTTAGTTCATGTATTATTGTCCAATATTGTTTGAGACGTGTTTCTGTGACGTCAATCATCCCTACAATACTGAATATTTTATCTTTCAGATAAATTAAATCATTTTCCGTTCTATGATGGTCTTTTTCAATTGGTGTATATATATCAACAGTTTCACGAACAATTTGTGGTAAACGTGAATATTCATACTGAAGTTTTCGCTCTAATTCGACATTTTTGCTCATAAATTCCATAAAAGGTGGTAACAAAAGAAAAATGTTTTGAGCATTTCTAGTTATTTCTGGTAATGACTTAGCGCTCTCATGTACACTTGATTCAATTTGATTCAATTTTATCTTTTGCAATTCATCCATTTCTAATATACATCCAATTATTAACAATGTGTTTGCGTGCAAAGTTGCTATACGACAATCTTTTTACACTTTGACAAATCGTTATTTTCAAAGGATTCTCTTTCGTCATATTTGTAAAGTTTCTCGTTAAAATTTGTTTTGGCGCTAGAAATACCAGTCAGGTGTCATAAGTGACTTGTATTGCTCTAAAATGAAATATTTGAGTAAAATATTTATCTGAAATTGTATATATCAACTTACTTTTCTTAAGGACGTTCCCCATCCAGTTTTTTTCACCAGTTTGTAGAGGACGTTTGGGCGTATATGTTCCAACAAATTTTTCAGTTCTCGGACTTGTAGTTTTTGATAAAAAAGAATTTTTAACTTCTTTTTGAGTTTTTGCCCCATTTTTAACTTCAGTTTTTTATATGAAGAGTTAATTCTAGCGTAGTTCGATAGAGGACATTAAATTATATAAAGTAGAAAAGTTTTCATCGTTCCCGAATGAAGTTTAACGCAGACATTTAACTTTCATCTTGCTGATGGAATTTTGGAGCTATAAGCAAAATCCTGAGTATAAAAGTTGTTCAGAATCGAATTCTGAAGCCCCTCGCCAAGGTGGAAGGGTTAACGCGCTAATTAACATTAATTTATGCTGCTCTACTCTCTTAAAGTCCTATATGTAAAATAACAACTTAACAAATAAATTCAAGCAATACCGCATCTGATAGAGAATTTCACAGGCTACAAGATAGGTGGCCTTAAAGGTTTTAGAAGTCATTTTTAGCTGCTCAATAAGTCTGGTTTTGTTACACCAAGGAATTGGTCAGGCTTTTTGAGCGGGTTTTTTGAAAACAAAGGCCATATTGAGATTTTCAGCGGAATATCAACAGCCTTCAAGGTCGCCTATCTTGTAACGTGTGAATTCTCTATCAGATGAGGTATTGCTTGCATTTATTCGTTGATTTTCGTTATTTTACAAATACCCTAGTGAGAAACTTACTCGCTACTAAGACCTTAGACAAATCTTACTAAGATCGTGCGACCCGAAAATTCTAAGAATTGATAATATTTTCCAGAGATCTTACTAAAATTATGCTGTCTAGGATTTTTTAAAGATTGGATAAGAATCTGTTAGAATCTTAATAATAAAAACGATGACATTTTTTAAATAGTATTCATTCGAGATTTGCTGAGAATTTTTGAATTTTTAATCCGCATTACCCAGTGCTGAAGAACGAGGAAAAATTTCATATTTTCGGGTGTCCAACCATAGACCTAGACCTGCATATACACTCTTTAAAACGTTATTGAACACTTTCGCGAGAGTAAGTACTAGCAAAATCCGGAAGAAAAATAACCGTAAAATTACTCATATTTTCGGTGTTACTTAAATAGATGAATAATAGCAAAACAAAGGAGTGAATGGAAGTAGCGTCATTAAATCTTATTAAGAACTTAAACGATAAGATCTTAGATTATCTTGTCAAAATCTTAAAGGATAAGGTCTTATATGATCTTAGTAAAATAATTTTAAGAAGTGTCTACGATTTTTACTAGGGTAGGACTTTAAGAGAACGTAGTAGCATAAATTAACGTTAATTAGCACTAATTAGTCAATAACAGGAAAGAAAGAGAACAAATTTTTACATTTTTTTTTACGTAATAAATAATCTTCACACATTTCTCTTTTGATTTATCCAAGAACTACATTCTTTTCATTATAAATTGAGAACAAGTAAGAGCTGATAAAATTGAGTAGATTGTGGAGTGGGAAATAGAAATTCAAGTAAGAAGTACAAAACTCCAACGAAATGCATCTTTTAGTGAAGTTAACTACTACACTGATTTACCGAGCTTTCGACCTGTTTATTCTTCGGTCATTTTCAAGGCGAATGATAAAAAGAAAAAACGTGTACAGTACGTGTACAGTAAGTAAGAGCTGAATAATTTAACAAAATTTTCCAAGTAATTAAGTTTTTTCTCACCAAAAGATGCCAGTAAGCCGAAAAAACTTCAGGATATATAGTTCGAAATGTCCTCTACAAACTGGGAAGTTTTAAGGAAAATCTAAATGTCCCCTCCTAGGAGGGGTTACTTATTCGTGAGATAAGGTCTAAGGTTAGGAGCTCCTAACCTTAGACCTTATCTCACGAATAAGTTTCATGTAAACAAAATTACTAAGATATTTGTATAAACTCGTGATTATTAGGTAAAAATACATTTTTTACTATGTGCACACAGAAGAACGGTCAAGTCAGTGATAAACTATTCATTTTCATTTAAACACATATCAGAAAGAGGTCTTTTGTGTCAACTAATGAACAAATGGTTCTAAACTAAGGCATGATAATTAATAGTAGTTTTATTATAATTTAATTTAATTTCGATCTGTAAAATTTGATCATTATGTTACTTTGAAACCTTGATTATATTGTCTCCAATGTTCGTAAATAATCGATTCTGGTACATCTTGATTGATGGCTCGAATTGGTTGCCCATTAATAAGGTCATTACAACCTTGTTTTAGCGCCGGATCAGGATGAGTACTGCTCATGCCGTGGTACGCTTTCTCGACACTGCTACATGTTGTCCAATCATTATTAAATATCGTCTCCGAATCGCAGATGCCCCAATCCGTACCGATAAATTTTCCCGTATCATTATTATATCTACACACGTGAAAACTTCGACAATTAAAGCGGTCATGTTTATATAGGGCAAATTTGCCTTGTTTCATGAGGTATGCTTGAACGGTACCCGTAAAGTTATTTCTAGTGTTTTTTCCCTCGTTAGCCATTCGAAAAAAGTCCATTCGTAAACGAGAGCTGAGATCAGATACGGTCATACTGGCAATAGCTGGTGGACATTTGTATTCATCTTCATACTGATCAAAAATATGTTTTTTACATTCATCTCGTGTTACTTTGTTTTTAATAAAAGAAATAATTTGATGGTGGCGCATATCGTTTGTTGTTGTTGTTGGTACAGTCAAAGGATAATTTGGACATTTTGCCATCTCAGGTGACACACATTTATTGGTACCTTCAAGCCAATGCAATCCTGTTTGGCATGTTTGTCTCGTACCATAAATAGCTCCTTCACAAAACCAAAACCAGTCACAATGATCTCGATCAGGCCTAAATGTTGTGTTCAGCGGTAGTTGTTCATAGCAATTATACCTTATAAAAGAAACGAATACAGGTATTTGCCAACACATTTTTAGAATATAATTGAACTTACACTTGGCAGACTTTCTTTCCAATTGGTGTAAATAGTCTCTCCGGATAATAGCTTTCATTCTGTTTATCTTTTAAATTGAGTAGATCGGTCAACTGCGTAGTTGTCCACCCGCGCGCACATTCTCCCGGGCATTCGCCAGTAATAATATCGCACCCATCATTCGTTGCACAATTACAACGTTCAGAACATCCCTTGCCCCAACTACCTGGGAAAAAGTACTATCTTAAATTAGAATATATCTTTTCTAGTCTAATGATCTTACCTTGAGGACACTTGAATTCACAATTATTTCCATACCAACCTAAATAGAGACGGGTAAGAAAAAGTATCCACATTTTTCTGTTTCCTTATGACGGTTACCTGTTTGACAATCACAATCGGGACAGTAACCGCTTATTGGATCACATATTGTACCACCTTTACAATGGCAAACATTTTCACAACTTGAGCCCCACTGCCCTGGTAAACATTGTGTTTTGATTTCAATTTTAAATGGTATATAATCTGCTTGATCCGATGATTTAACACAATCGGTGCGTGATGGTTGCTTTACATCTGTATCAATTTCCTCCTCTGTCATTGGATCGATATGTTGGGAACGATTTTTGTCCCAACTTGTGCCTGATGAATGCATTGTCAATGTTCCATAAACTGTTTCACCTGCTAAAGATGGTGAATAATAAAGTACTTGTGTTGGACTTGTTGGTGAACATAATATGGAACGGTCATAAAATGCTACTGATGGAGTTCGTGTACGACGAGAAAAATAGCCACTGACTTGGTGAATTTGATCACCTGGTGGTAATGTAAACGTTAAATTGAGACCAGAGGCACCGATAACAAATTTAACATGATATTTTTCATCTTTCCGCAGTGAAGTACTAAAACTATTAAAACCAACATCGCCAGTATTGGTCAAAACATTTGGTGCATGACTTAATTTTCTAGCAATTTCTTTTTGAAATAATAAAAATTCATCGAAACTCGATATTAAAAATCGATGACTACAAGACGGAAATGAGCTAAAATGAAAAAGATTATATGACTGGACTATTTACAGATATAAAACTTACGCAATACGATCCAATTCCTCAACGTCTAATGAATATTTTGGTCCAACACCAATACTGTAAACTAACAAGTTTCTTTCATGAACTTTTTTTGCTGCTTCTATCGTATCTCGTTTGACATTACTCGCACCGTCAGTCACCACAATGACAAACATTGGAACACCATCGTCTGCGCGTGCATGATTTTTAACCTCTTTCATCATTAGCTTAAGTGCTTCAGCCGTATTTGTTCTTCCCCGCTGATACGTCATATTACGTATAACTCCTTCGCTCAACTCATTTGATTGTGTATTGGCTAGCCCATAAACAACACGTGCATGACTAGCAAAATTAATGATGCCCAAATGACTTTGATTTTTACCCAAAACGAGTGTATCCGCCATTCTTAACGCAAAATTTCGAACTTTCTCAAAATTGTTCGCACCAATACTACCCGATTCGTCCAAAACCAGCAGGAGATCAGCCAAACGGACCAGTCTACACTCAAATTCCTTCTCACTTGCTCGGAGAATATATACTTTTTCATTTGCTCCTAAAGTATGAACTCACAAGAATAGACAACTTTTATTAGTCTCAGCCGGCTAACCTGGTCGAATATATTTTGCCCAAACTGCCGCTTGCTCTGCAATTGTTGTTGGGTAAGATTTTTTATCGATTTTAAGTTTAGTTTTTAAAACTTCTAAATATAACCTCATCGCCAGACCTGAATAGAATGGTTTCTCTAGCATAGCCATCGTAGTATGTTTCCACCAAAAACCAAATATGCTGTTGATTTTAACCGTTAATCGTTCCACAATTGGTGGTGGCTTGTGAATGGTTTGTTCAAGCATTTGCTGTGTTATGCGCCACGGACCAGTAGCTGGTTCACTTGATGATACATTGAGTCCATCGTTAGTGTCGACTAATGCAAGACGACGTAAAAAACCTTTGTCATCATCGAAAAAGCATGCCGATTGAATTTTATCCACCACAGCTTCAACAACATCGGTACCAACTTTTTTCGGAGTTAAAGTATGATCTTCTGAAGCTTGATGAGATAAATCTTGAGTAGAGATGCGTTTAATATGAGAAACTATCAGATACAATAACAAAAACGATACCATATTGAGTAAATCTTTAGAAAAAGTAAGCATAATTGTTTTAATAAAGTCTTCGATGTAATATGATAGATAACGTTAGGCTGGTCATACAGATTTTTCCAATATTACTTTCACAGAATATATATGACTGAATAGAATGCTGCTTAGATGTTAGAATATCTCCTTAGTTTTGTATAAGTTTTTCTGTTACTCACCTAAAAGACTGAGTCTAATTTACTTTTTGATAAAAAATGTAAATGGAACCAATCGCTCTCACTCAATACTTGAATTTATTTAATGATGAATAACAGACATCACCACCTGTCCAGACAATAAATTTCTATTCTTCATAGAAACTCATAAAACTTAAAGATCAAAACATTATTAAACTATACTATTCATCATATCGATCAAATCTTTTATTTTTAGTGTAATTTAGCGTAACTCTGACATCTTGTTTATCGAAAAAATTTAACCTATCGTGAGTAACAAAACCGTCTAAACGTCTCAAAACCTTTTAAAGTGATTTATGAAAACAGATTAGGTATTACGTTACAAATAATATGTCTATCGGAGTAGTGAAATTTGAGCTCCTTCGCCTGCTGGTTTTTTGAGTTATTTAGACAATGTTGAAGGATCTTTTATTTTGAAATGGATGGTTCAGTATATTCCATTAAGATTTCAAACGTGTCACAATGCAATAAATTCTGATCCATTGCATCCCGTTAGTTTTACTATTTCGTTATAATGCAATTTTTTATATCTGGATGCAATTCGTTTGCCTTTTCCTTTCATTTTAATCTTCTTTGTGGGTCTTATGGTCACTTGACATGATCTGTTAGATACTGTGCACTAGTATCATCATTGCACACTGGTCAGAACTAAGCAAGGTAGNTTTTAATCTTCTTTGTGGGTCTTATGGTCACTTGACATGATCTGTTAGATACTGTGCACTAGTATCATCATTGCACACTGGTCAGAACTAAGCAAGGTAGAGGTTTTCAAGTTATTGAAGGACGATACGATTAGCTATAACTTGCGATTGGATGGGGTTTATTATAATCGATAAGGAACTACTTGAAGTTGCTTAAAAATGAAAAATTTTTACTTGTTGGACCAAGTGACCTTCTTGAAAAAATATGGATAAAATGGATGTTGGAATTGATTTTTTTTTTCACTCGAAATACAATCAAACGATAACTAAATCGGAGATATCGAGTGTATGAACCATGCAGGTCAATGACAAAATAATCGCATCAACCGTATAACTTACTTCTGGTTCTAACCTTCGTTGTTTTATTTATTTTGCTCTTTTTTTATTCGGTTCAAGCGTACAGTTCAGCGTTCACACATTTCGACTTAAAAGTGCGTGAACTCGAATAAACCACAAATATCGTAACTCCACGAACATTTTCATCCAACAGACTTGATCGAAATCCATTTGTCGTGAAACTGACTGTCTCGTTTTTTTAAGTATTTTAGTCATAATATCGCCACGATCGAATGTGACATAGCTTTTCTATAGATGAATATTTTTTTCACTTCGGTTTAAAATGATAATTCGTGAAAGGCATGAAACAAGATAGAGATAAAGAATGTTCTTTACGTTTTCTCGCATATAGGAATAGGAAAATGTATCTCGCATGCAGAATTCTGTATTTAACATTAGAAAATTGTACCAATTGCTATATGAGTTACTGCTGATATAAGAAGAAACGCTTTTTCGTTAATATTTATATTATGTGTAATATTTTTATCACACATGATATATTTTCTTTTCTCTTTCTTGTTTAGTAATGAAGCTATCAATCAAAACCCACTGGAATCCAGCCGACTCAGAAATTTTTGCCGATTTTTCTGTACAGATCTATCTTTAAACGAATTTATCTATCAATAAGTCCTGATGAAAAATTCTTCCATTCTTATAAACAAAAGCTTTTAAAGAATTCCGGACAAGCATCTACAGTTCATGTTTTTTTATGCTGCCGCTGCTGACCATTCTTAAAAATGAGTTGAATCTTTGAAAATACGCACGATGTATAGATGACAAATAATAAAAACTTCTTCTGATTGAAGATAATAATCTGTAGGATCTTATGACAGCTATCGTTGAATAACTGTCAGAAATGAATAATATTTTTGTAAATATGAATGTATAAGAACCAATAAAAGAAAAAGAAAACATTTATTTTTGGCTTTTTGTATCAATGTTAATGGACTCTTCTTTTTTTTATATACAACGAACGTTTGTTCCATTGTACAGGTGTTACAGAAAATATGCATACGTTTATCTGCCATTCATGACAAAATTTCAAGTAGAACTAGCAATCTGATAAATTGTATGAAACAACGTTTTGTTATGAAAACGAAAATAAGAAGTAAAATTATGTTTATACTAATTGCATAACATATCGATAAATTAAACGGTCTATAAAACTGATTCTTTTCATGATACTGTATTGAAAAAGATAACATTTTGGCTTATTGTATAAACTCGCTGTTATCAGAGCAATAATTGTGCTAATGTCTCTGACATACGAGCTCGTTGAATACAGACACGTATTTGAAAAAATGTTACAATAAATAAATTCCTTTATAGAAAAAACAAAATCGGCATCACTAGTCCTGATTGAATATTACTCTTTATCAAAACACCTAGTTAAAATCGCCATAGCCTCGGCCCTTCTCTTATGAGAAGGAAAAGATGAAGTCAGAAAGACATTCGAAATATTAGAAGTACTGTGGTGTTAATAAAGACAAAATTGACAAGACTAAATGATGATTGAAAACAGAACTTCGGCACTGGTGCGCAACGCTGCGAGATTTTTACATTCTTTCTGGCACTGGTGCGCATCGGTGTGAGATTTTTACATGCTTTCTGGCACTGGTGCGCATCGGTGTGAGATTTTTACATGCTTTTCCAGAAAAAAAATTATTCGGCACCGATGCGCATCCGTGCACAACCAGTGCTAATAAAATATTTTTTTGTAGGGCTGTCTCTCTTCTTTCGAGAGACAGACGGTTTTTAAAACATTGATCTCTTCTTTCATTCATTCCTTAATCGGGACACTTGCGATGAGCAATGCCTAATCTTCTATCTATGCATTAAATAAAAATTTCTTGTGAATAATGACTAAGTTTTTCTTTTTTTTATTACTAGAAAGAAAAGAACTAACAAACATATTCTCATAAAAACGTTGTAAAGCCATTTTGTAAAAATTTTCAGTAAAAACTGTCCAAAAAAGTGAAATAAAAAAGAAACACACACCGGTGCATATATTGAAATTCTTCTATCGTCTTAAGTATATAAAAAAACTTATGTTAATGGTGTAGTTGCATTCGTGTTATTGTAAGTATTTAAACATTTGGTGCTAACATGTGTCGAATAACGGGATCATTTCTGCAACTAAAAGAAAAAACTCGAGTTTCAGTTTTATCTTTGAAATTGTATGCAGTGAAATTATTTAAACTTACCCAGCAATAAACTCTTGTTTCGATAATTTTTTATCTCCCGTAACATCTAATTTAGTAATAATTTCATTTGCACGTTTTTTCGGATCTCGATCACCTTTACGATCAGTTTCTCCAACCAAATCATACTGAAGTACAGAAAATAATAAATGAGTCAAAAAAATAATTTAATCAAGTCTGCATTGTAAAACATACCATTGCTGCTATCAAATTGGCTAATTCTTTTGAATCAATTTGACCATCACCACTTACATCGTACATTTCAAATGCAACTTCGAGACGATCATTAAGATCACCTATAGAATAAACATATCATAATGTCAGGAAATTTCAGACAAATTTATATCGATTTACCTTGACTTGTAGCAGCAATAGCCTAAAGTAAGATTATAATGAGTAATTTTCTTCGTAGTAAAAATATTTATACTCACCAATAAAAATTCATCAAAATCGATTGAGCCATCATTATTTTGATCGAATGTATTAAATGCATATTTACCTGATATGATCAAAAACAAATCAATATATAATTCTATAGATATTAAATAAATAACCATACGTACAAAATGAATCGGCTTTTCCTTGTGGATAAAATTGTCTGTACACTTCTACAAATTTCTTTTTATCTAATTTACCAGATGGACAATCACGTAAAAATCCCTAAAAATTGCGTAGTTTGAATGATAATAACATTTCTGCTTTGTAACTAACAGTAACTTACAGCATGCCATTCACGAATTTCTAGAAGGAAAAGAAAAACAATAGAAAAAGACATATTCAAAGAACGATAATTTCCAAAAATAGTAAACAATAAAAATCGACAGTCTAGTTAAGCTGTTATGCAGTTATGTCTGATATTTGTTCATATGTGATTTTCTCAATAATAGTCATTTATTACAAAGAGAGCTCGTAGTAGCTTCTCAGCTGACAAAAAAAAATCTAAAAATTGCAATTAATATATATGGATTTTCTACGACGAACACGAAGAATAATTAGTCTTTTATGGGCAAGTCTATGAAAACTTACACGGAGGAAGAATCAATGTCTATAATTCTCACATAGCTGATTGAAAGAATCCTATAATTTCTCACATAACTGATTATCTCCATGGTGAATCTCTACCATACTCAATGAAAAAAGAATGCTAAAAATTTACTATAGATGCGAGAAGCGACCTCTCTTTCTTTATGATAAAATTAATCATTTATTTTTATAAAAAAAAATGAATTGATATGTTAAATTAATAAACTAGTTGTATTTACCTTTTTCAGAGAATTTTGTATTTGCTTTTAACATGTTAATTTCTTTTGGTGTTAATTCGGTTGATGTACGAGATTTTTTGGCACCTTTGTTACCCATTCTCAAAAATTTTTTGAAATTTAAAAGTAAACTACAAAAATCTAGAAAATAACAAAATTTAAAGTTGTATAAATTTTACTTTGGAAAACTTTATGTTTGACTGTTCTATAAAATGGTAGTGTATTTATATCTATCTATAAATTATCGGGAGAGAAAAAAAACGAGAGAAATAGTTTGTACATAAAAGAAAAAAAAACTAAAAGAGAAAAAGTATTTTTATAGACTAGGTGGTAGATTAGACTATGTTGTATAGATATCATCTATATCAATATCTCTTTGTATGTTTCGCGCATATACAAAATAGCTTTAAAAAAAAAAGAAACAGAAATGTACGCCACGTGGAATATTTTACAATTAGTTACATTAGTATGCAAACACACATGTATAATGATGAGATAGCCATTTCGTCTGTTCTTCGAAGTGACATAGACGATGAATAATAATAATAGCTAGTCATCTCTGTAAGTGACAAAGTATCAAAGTCACTATTATTGTTTCTAGCTATGTTAGACTTTCATCGATTTGGATGTAACAACATTGTTAAAAATAAATTTTAAAATACTTTAAAATTAGTAAACTACGAATCATATCATAATGTCAGTCAATATTAAGAGCAATAGCGGTTGGGGAGCTCGATATCTATAAAAACGGAGAACAGAAAGAAAAAAATATTTTTTTTCTTTACTTTTTCGAAATAGACTATAAAATAATAGAACTGCGACAAAAATCATTTCTTTTCTTTTGAAATGAAATTTTTTTTTTCTCACAGGGTTTTTTCCGTTATATAGTGTGAAATAAACGAAACAGTGTTTTTTTTCTTTTCTGTGCATGTTTCCG